GCAATGACCTCAGCCAATTCCCTCAGTACCCTAGGGTGGACATCGTCCGGACCAGCTGATTTGAATACATCCAGTCCTTCCAGAAGTTCCCTAACTAGTTCCTTACTAACCCTTGGCCTAGGTGCACCTCTCCTGGGATCTAAGGGGGGCCCAGAGGTGGGGGGGTGACTGTTTTGGAGGTGACTGTTCCAGGAGACCCCGCCAGAAGAGGATGACCAAGCACCTGTAAGGAAAAGAGCAGGTTTTGCCATAGGAGCTGTGACAGTTGAACCAAACAGTGCAGATCCAGCTGACCTCTTGCTCACTGACTATGATGCCAAAAGGGACCATGAGGGGAGCTGGGATAGGAGGAGGGTATCCTGAGAGGGACGGGTAGATCCTGCTGGTGAAGAGAACCCATTGAACGGCCCTATAGCTACATCCACCATGTTTGAGCAGCTGAGGACCCAAAATCGACTCGGGCAGCAGTGGTCTTGAAAGGCCCCAGTGGGCATGAGGGGACCTTCCCTGAAGTTCTGGGGTACATGGCCGGGTTCCAGCTGGCCTAGAACCCCAGCTCACATGGGGGATACCCATAGAGTAGGAGCGATTGGGAGCCAGGTGAAGCACGCCTCACCAAACCTAGAACACTGAAGTAAAGTGTTAGGTGCAGGTAGCATTGATGTCCTGTTTACCTGCATCACCTGAGTACATTTAGTTTAATTATTGTTAAGTTATGTGTTCATTGACCAAGCGGGCCTCACCACGCTCCTCTGGCGAACTGAGTGGGCGGTTAGAACTAATGGAACCAGTGCCCACCAACATCACCAAGACCAAAGTGGACCACCTGAATGGAAAGGGGGGTGGCATAGGGGAAGCGGTGACCCACACAAGGCCAACTGGCTGAGGCACCCAGGGCCAGATGAAAGTACTGTGAAACACATCCAAGTCATCTCAAATAACATCAAGTCATGGCAGGAAAGTACACTTTGAGGTGATGCCCAGGTGGACAGGGCATGGCAGCAGCAGTGCTGCAAGTGTGGGCCTGCCACAAGCACATATGGAAGTGAACATGGGAGGGGGGTACCCAATATGCTTAGGTGCCTGCCTGCCTACATCTTTAGGTACCTAAACCCTTTTGTAAATTTAGCCCTTTTTATCTCCCTTTCCCCAGCTTTAAAACATACTTGCATGCTGGAGTACTTTTCCCCAAGTATGGAAAAGACAAGATGACTTGGCATGTAGTCCCTAATTTTCAGTATTACATTTTAGATTACTGTTGCACATGCATAGAGGGACTTCAGTTGATGACACGTGCTGACTTTAGTTGATGAAGCATGTGTAGTTGTCATGATTTACAGAACGTACCAGAACATTACAAACTTTTGACCTTTGGTGGAGCCTGCCCAATAACTACACCTAGAGCATGTGCCCTTTCCCAAAGTTATGGGTGGGAAAGTAAGATGCCAGTGTGGTATATGAGTGACAGCTACCTTTCTCATGTACCCTGAGATACAATTGGATGAAGGAATGGGAAGGTATTGATTGAATGATTGACAAGTCTGAAAGAATCCTGATTGGTTGGAGTGAGTGGGATGACTAGGCAAGATAAAAGGGAAGCTGACCAGTGCTCTCTCTGTGATAGTGGGATCTTGTGTAAGGGATGCTTGCTGTTAATTTTGTGAGAAGAGATTGAGCAAAGAAGCTCTCTAAAATGAGCAAGGAGGCTCATTAGATTGAGCAAGGAGGCTTTTGTTTCTGCAGTTGTGAGTGGTCCTTGTGTGGTTTGCATCTATGGCCATGTCCAGAGGAACGCGGACGTAGGGTATGTAGTGCTGCAGACCTGTCTGTGGTGCCACACACAACACATGCAGGCATTCCTCACACTTCTGCCTTGCAGTGTGGGAGGTTTTTCTGACCCCAGGAGATCCTGGGATAAAAAAAAAAAACATGCTGAAAAACAGGGTGGAGCACATGGCAGCAGCATGGACTGTCCAAAACTGGAGCCTGGCCAGCCAGTGCCACAGTCTGGCTGCCAGCCAGGCTTCCTGCTGTAGCTGCAGCCCTGGGAGGCCACCAAGCCCCCAGGTAAGGCTACTGGGGCCAGCACAGTTGCTGGCCCAGCCTCCCCTACGTCACCTACGGTAACCTACAGCACTCCAGAGCACACAGCGTGGGCATTCCCCGGGGACAAGTAGCAGCAGCACAAGGTGAGCCCCTGCTACTTGTCCCCAGGAAAACAAATGTCCGCACATATCTGGATGCACTCTATTTGTCTATAACAGCTAGTCTTGCCATTTGTGGTGTTTGTATTGGTGTTTCTTTTCATCCTGTCAGTGCTGGTTGTAGCCTTGTCTAAACTTTGTGGCAGTAAAAGAGTTAATAACAGTGAGTGAGAGGGAGAGCCTGAATTGCCATTTTGATTACTTAGCAGCAGTGCTACTGCTGGCAGGCGAGGTGACTGCCCTGACAGAGATCACTGGTATCCTGACAGAAGTTCTGAGAAACTATCACCCTCCTTCATCAGTCTGTTCCCTTTCCTTTTCCCCATTTGTCTGTAAATATCTGTACATAAAGTTGTAATTGTTAATGTTTAATAATAATAACCAGTTTTGTTTTATAACCTTCTGCGTGAATAAAGTATTTAACCAACAAACCAAGCCAGACCTGTAGCTTGCTCTGGAGAGCCCAGAGCAAGTCAGCTTGGGCCAACAGTATCTAAAAGATGCACTCTATTCAGCCACCCCTTGTCCCAGAGAGGTGGTGCTGCTGATTAAGGGCCTCGCTCTAATTATAAATATTAATGGGTTGATTTAGAAATGTCCTCTCTGGTCAACAACCACACTGGTGTAAAATAGAGTAGCAGTATGTTGGCCAGAACAGACTTATACTGTGGGAACAAAGTCAAGCTGTAATTTGGTAATCAACAGCAGATTCAATAACAGGAAGTTCAACCTTTGATTCTCATAACACATTTGAATATCCCACACTGCTCCCTTCACAGTAGCAGTGTTCAGTTTAATTATTCTAGTAAAATCTGAAAGTGGCCAGGTAGAAATGACAAAAAAGGCACTCTGTGTCAAATTACAGACCCAATGATACCGATTCAAAACTTTCTCCCTTACAAGCCTCTACAGAATTGCTTTATTTGTAACTTCAGTTAGTTGCAACTTCAGGGAACTGCTAGTTAATAAGTTATTCTTAAGAATAATAATTATAATGGCACACCATTGGGTGAAATCTGTTGGTTGCCAGGAAAGTTATATCCATAATGCTTTTAATTCAGGACATTTTCTCTATTGCTGTTTGCTTTCCATTTCATATTCACTGTGGGACACCCCTGGCAATGAATTACTAGAGGACTACAGAACTCTGAGGATGTTTGAAGTTATTTTGCCTCACAATTCCAACCCGAGGAGCAATATAATACTGCAAAATCAACTGCCTTGTGTGTTTAGCTGCTCACTTCTAGTGTAAAGTAGCACTACATATGTCCTAAAAGGAAGTCGGTGTGTTATCCACAGATAAAAGCTAACCAGTTTGCATGATATATTCAGGCCAGATGTGCTACTCTGTCCCACTGGGTGACATGAATTTTTATTAGTATAAATGAAATAAAGTACATAACATGGACTGGTATCAAATATTCATTGCTATTTCAGTGTGTGTGGGATGGGATTGTGTATGTGTGGATGTAAGCTGAGGCTCAGGGAAGAAATACAAAAGGTGGTTGAAAGGATCCTCCTTAAAGATCACTGCAGAAAGAACAGTTGTGTTTAGAGCTAGTCTATTAATACACAGATCTTGAAAGAAGAAAATAGAAGAAAAGACATTTCAGAAGACTCAAAAAAGTAATGAAGGAGTAATATAGATGACCCTACGGGACAGTGCACAGGCTTCTTCTACTGAGAGACCATGGTTTGAGTCTGTGAGTTAGATCATAAGATTTGAGCTTGTTCCCCATTTTGCCTGACATCACTGAAGAAACGGGCAGAGCTATTAGTAAAGCAAAATCACGTTCAGCATTGCTCAAGCCAAGATGGTAGCTTTTGAGGGGGGCCTGGAAGATATCATTTCCTGTTCCCCAAACCATGCTATATACCAGCAAACTTACACATGCAGATTTCCTGCATAGGCTTATGTTTCCCCACAGGCAGAAGGCGCCTACCAATTCTACTAGATCTGGAGCCCTTCACAAGCCTTAGAGGAAGGACAGGATTCTTCCTCCACTGCCTCATGCTGCCTATCTGTATACAGAGTTGTACGGTATCCTCATTCCATAAGCCCAGCTTTTCACATTCATGAGGAATTGCCCTGGAAATTTTAAGAAAAGTCAAATTTTTGGTGCAGTATCCTTTAGATGGAAACAATTATTATCTGGTAAAAGGTAATTTCCCTAGGAAGATCTTAGAAACCATGCCTTTTAACTTTTGGGATTAACTCTGTATAAAATGTGAAGCAAAACAATTTTTGATACAAATGAAGGGGAAAAAGGCAGTCAGCTTTTTGTTTAGTATCGTAGAACCATAGAAAATTAGAGTTTGAAGGGACCTCAGGAGGTCACATCTAGTCCAACCCCCTGCTGAAAGTAGGACCGTCCCCAACTAGATCATCCCAGCCAAAGCTTTGTTTAGCTGGGCCTTGAAAACCTCTAAGGATGGAGATTCCACAGCCTTGCTGGGTAGCCTGTTCCAGTGCTTTACTACCCTCCTTGTGAGAGAGTTTTTCCTAATACAGGAAATCCTTGCTATTTGTGGGCTTGGCATTCGCAGTTTCGAATATTTGCCGTGCTGCGCCAACCCACGCTTTCTCCCCATTGGCAGCATGATGACACTGTTACAGCACTGGCAGTGTGTGCAGGAGCTCTGCGTTTGCTGCAGCTGGGCTACCACTGCTGGCGCTGCTCTCCCGCTGCCACCACCGCACTCCTGCCACCACCAGTGCAGCCGTGCCCACCCAGCCGCTGGGGGCACGCACCGTTTATGATGTATTTGCGGATTTTGCCATTTGCGGGAATCTCTGGAACGTATCCCCTGCGAATGGCGAGGGTCTCCTGTATGTAACCTCAACTTCCCTTGCTGCAACTTGAGACCATTGCTCCTTGTTCTCTCATCTGCCACCACTGAGAACAGTCCAGCTCCATCCTCTCTGGAACTACCCTTCAGGTAGTCGAAGGCTGCTATTAATTGAATTTTATTCCATTATACATAGGCTCTCACTTTCTATCCACAGACTACAGAAAGTGTTGAAGAGAAACATACAGCAGCCTAAGCTGATACAGTTGTTATTAGTTATAATTATTTTGGTAGAACTTAAAAATATGCTCAGGATCAGGGTCCCGTTGTGCTTGCAGCACTGAGACAAATTACAAAGGTGGCAGTCTCTATCCCAGAGAGCTACATTAGACAGGACATGATACATGGGTAATTCCAAACAGACTGGGAGGATAAAGTAACAAAAGGGGCAGACTTTTGAAGAAGTAGGTTTTGGTACGTATCTTGTTAGACAGCAATGACTCGTAGGCCCTGCGGCTACTGCAAGTTCCAAGAAGATGCTGGGAAAAGAACGTTGGGGACCACTGGGTACGCCCCCTCAGCAGTGGCAGTGCGGTCCAACAGGTAGGATCTTCTTCTAGACATCAGATGAAGTAAGCTCTGCATTAGAGTGGCTGGGGAAGTCATTTCACCTTAGCTGTGCAGTGTTCCCATCTGTAAAGTAGGATGACTGATGCCTATTTTTATAAAGTGTTGTGAAGGATGCAGTTATATTTCATCTTTTAGCATGTGTGCACTCAGTTAAAATGGGCCTATGCAATGGAGGCCATCTTCTGCTTGTACTGAATTTATGTTGATAGTAGGTTTTGTGGTCAGGAGGGAGGGAGAAGTAAGAATATGTCTGGCCTCTATGCAAGAATACAAGGGACTGGCAGGCTCCCTAATGTCCCCTCCATTTCCACCTGTGCGGCGTTAGTCCTTAACGAGCATGCATATGTACTGCACAACAGCTTCTGTATTTACTTGAATCCAAGATGAGGTTTTTTTCCCACATCTAACACGAAGGGGGAAAAGTGCCTTGTTTTTATTTGAATATGAGGTGGGAGGAGTGGGTCAGGCAGCTGCTCTGGCTCAAGCTCCAACTCTGGCTCTGACCTAGGGTGGAGGCTAGAGGCACTAGTCCCCCCACTGCTCCCATTTTCTCTACTATAGCCTCTACCCCCCTACCTACCAATCTCCTCCTCACCACTTACCTTTCCTTCAGTCCATCCCCTCAGCCTGGGGCATGGAACATGGCCCTAGCTCAGCCGGGTAACAGCCAGGGAGTAGGGGAAGGATGGGTGGGGGAAGAAGCTCTGGCAAGGGGGCAGGAAATGCCAGATGGGGGTGGGGGACACAAGGCTGTGAGGGAGAAAGGCAGCATGGGAATGGGGAGGGCAAATAGGGGGACAGGTGGCTGGGAGCAGTGTCGGGGGCAGGGGGCAGGAGTCTATCTGCTTGACCCCTTATGCCCCCACATCTCTGTGCCGTCTGCCTCTTCCACTGCCTGCCCTAGCACTGCCTGCCACTGCTTTCCATACTGCCGTAGTGGGAGGCATGACTTTAAGATGATCTTCCACTAATAAGATCCTATACATAACAAATTGGGGGTTGTCTTGGATTTGGGTAAATAGGGTAGATAAAATATTAATCAGAATGAACAGTCTGTGAAATACAGTTGAAAATTCACTTACGTGTGGCAAAAGCCTGGAACAAAACAGCCTTTTTTTGTGGTATGACAAGTTGACAGCAGCACCCCCGTCCCATTCAGACATGGATCCTCCTCAGACCACCGGCTAAAAGTTTAACATTTTCTAAGTTCTTTAGCAAGGTTTTATGTGTTACTTTTATAGGGGCATGGCTACATTGACAAATGTGGCTAACTACTTTCACCAGATGGACAGAGGACCTATAGTGCCTTTGCTGTTGTGCCTGGAAGGAAGTCAGTCGTTCAGAGGTAAGTCTGACACGGTAATGGAACAAACTGCACTTGTGATTGCCTGCAGGGGAATGTGTAACGGAGAGCCTGGGGCTCCCTGTTTCCTTAAGATAAAAACAGCCCAGCTGGAGAGCACAGCAGGCTAGGCAGGGTGCAATAGCTTCTGCTTGCTGGGGCAGCAGGGCAAATGAGGCCATTAGCAAGCACTTGCAAGCAGCCTGCTGACAGGAAGGGTTTAGAGACCTGGGAAATACAAGCTCAGAGCCTAAGCTGGCAAGATGGGCTAACCCTGCCAGCTGCAGGGTTAGGAACTCCTGCCCAGGAGAGCTCCCTAGGGATGCTAGACTGTCTGCTTTGTTGCCTGCAGGAACACTGAGGCTTGGGGAGCTCACAAGGACCCCAGACTAGGAGGTATGCTAGCACAAGGGCTGAGGGAGTGTTTCCCCTCTTAAAGGGGCAGAGGGCTGATTCTACTGTTGTTTTTATGTTACAGCCCAGGGGCTTGTTATGTTACAGTTACACCAGCAGTTTGGGTTGGGACTGTAAGGGGTGGTATACGGACATCCCATTGGTGCCCATGTGGCACATGATCACTTTGAGCCCTGCCATGGGCCTATAGCCTGACAGACAGGAGCCAGGGACCTGCTGACTGTAAGGGATAAACCAGAGCTAGTTCCTCAAAGCTAGGTCTGAAACAGTTGGCCCGGGCTAGAAGGCCCTGCCAAGAGTAAAGGGGTGGAGGCCAATGAGGCCGAAGCCCCAATAGGAGAACAATGATAGTGCAACACCCACAAGGCTTGGGGAGTGGTGTAAGGGAGGGCTGGAGCCACACAATTAGCCCCTAAGACTTTGTGCTCAGCAGGGCACAGTTGAGAGATGTCTGGCAAAGGGCCTGGGACCAGAGAGGCTCAGTGAGGGGCCTGGACGTACTAGAGACTGGTACAGTGCCAAGGAACCCCAGTGGGGGATTATTATATCTAACTGGATATTATTGGACCCCCGGTGGGGGTCCAAAGTTATTATTATTCCATCAAGGTGTGGCAAACAAGAAGGGAAGGTATTCTAGGGGCAGAGCAGGGCACAGTTGCACAGCCACCAGGCATGACAGCTGCCCCCGGGGCCCTGATGTGCTACAGGATACATCATGATGCTGCCAAGTTGTTGGCCATCACTGGAGCCCTCTTCCTGGACACAAAAAGGCCCTCATTTTCTCTGAGAAAGCCTTGACATACGTGACATTCTGCCGGTTTGGACATAGATGGTAAGACCAACATTTGCTTTGTTTACAAGCAAGGGAAACCAGGTCCAGTCAGTGGTATTGACTTCTCTTTTTAATTCACTAGAATTATGCCTGATTTTTATGGATGAGAGAGCAATATCGGGCCTAATAGAAACATCTAAAATGAATGTGAACTGGCTTCAGCTACCTCAGTTTCATTTCGGTCTATTACCTCTGAAACCTAATAATTGCCCCTTAAATGTCAACATTGATATCTGTTTCACTACTGATTATTTTAACGGAAATATACAGCTGCTCTGCTCTTTTCTTGTAGTTGGATGCAGTAATGGATGGGCAAGGAATGTGTAGAGCAGTGATAGGGCTGTTTTCTGGAACAACTAATGAGCAGTTAAAGTCTCTTTAAAAATTCTCCAATTGTTCTTACCAAAAGAGTATGAAAATGTCCTCTTCAGGTATAGTGCCTCAATCTTCTTTCACCAGTGCATCTGAGTGCAGAATTCAGCAGCTGGAGTCTGCACTTAAATTATTCCAGAGTGGCATCTACAAGAACAAATTAGGGAACTTTCCATCATTGTCCAAAATACATAGAAAACCAAGAGAAAATATCACATTGAATCAGATGAACTCCACAATATTTTGTATAAATATTAGGAGAGAAAATCCATGTAGAGCCAGTGAACAGCTGTTGATAGCTGTTTATTTGATCATCCCTCATATTTCCCTGAGCACATTGTATCATCACCTGCATTTGTCCTGCAGAGGCACCTTTTCACAGGGGAATGTTTCAGAGAGTTTTTTTTTTCAATCCAGTAACTATGATACAGAGATGGTAAATATACTTAGGTGTAATTATATAAATCAAATTATACAATTTGGCTGAGAAGAGGGACATCTGAAATGGCAGCTATTTTAAATCCTTATGGAATTGTTATGTCAGTCTAACCTCTTTGCTGAGGCCGTGGAGTTTGTTTCCAGTAAGATATTATGTATGTGTCTTTGGTTACCCATTTGTTAGCCCTATCTCTTGGGAGGGGGAAAAAGCTCTTTTGAAAACATGACTCATATGCTGTAAGTTGATTTAATGCAGAGGAATAGCAATATGGATTCTTAAGAAAATATAAGCCAAGACTTTGACAAAAATTAATAAGATTACTGGCTCAACCTGTTAGTTTTTCATTTTCTTTCCCTTTCCTTTTTCTTTTGACAGAAAGCTCTATAAGAAAAAATAGAAAATATCAAAGGGAAATAAACCCAGATTTGCCACAGTGAATTATTTTACCTCTCTTTGGGATACATTTTTTTTAAATATAGTTAATGAGAATGTATTATGACTTTTTTTCACCTGAGATTTTCTTTTCAAAAGTTCCAGTGTAACATTCCCTGTAAGCCATAAAATAATAGCCAAGAATCTGTGAAGCAATTAGCTGGGTTAGTACAGAGGGAGAATTGAAATAATGAATCTTTTTCTTTCTGTAGTAATTGGACTGTGAATATTTTTGTTGGATAAATGATACCATTATGGGGAAACTATACCCTTTTTATGCAGTTTCTCAGAAATAGGGAGCTTGTGCAGGGGTGGACATGTAAGGAAGCAGGATTTGGCCTCACCTCCTCATTGGTACATAGTTTATTATTCTAAATCAGTGCTTGGGTAATGGCAATGGCTATTCCAAAGGGTCTCTCCATGCCCGGTTTCTTGAGGCCAGCGCAAAGCTCCATTGATTTACGGGTCCAGAGCCCCTGCTTCTTCCTTTTGATGATCTTCAAAGATATAACCATGGTGCTAAGGGTACTGCAAAGTCAGGGTGGGTGAGCAAATTTTTTGTTTTCAGTGAATAATGTGGTTTAATGTTTGAAAGGATAGCAAACTATAGAAACCTTTCAGTGGAAATGAACATCTTGCACTGATTGCTGCCTATATTAAGTCCAATTTACTTCAATGAAGAAATGATGATTTTTGCTAACTAAGGATTCTTTTGTCCTAATATAGATATTCTAATTCATGCATTTGTATTCTTATAATGGATATCACAAGAACCCTGAGTCTTGAGAACAGGTGATGGTATGATACCACTCTCATGAGGAGAAGGAAAAGTTATTGGAAATGAAGTCTGGAAGCAGTATAGTTCAGTTCAATACTTCATTTTATAGCATTGTATTTTAATATGTTCTTGGATAGCCAGGCATTTATTTTCTTAGGGTAAGTGCATATAATAGTATATATTGATGAAAGATTAGAACTGATCTTCAAAGAAATGTGCATTATATTAGCATATGAATAGAAATCTGATCCATATTTTCAGATCACCCAAAGAAAAACAAGTAGATGAAGAGTGTTGAATTACAGTGGACTCTAAAGAGACCATTGCAGGACCACAAAAATAGAAAGGGAGCAGAGAGGTAAGGCTAAAAGACAGGCCCAAATGAGAAGCTTATATTTGAATTTTCAGGAGGATGATATAAATGAATGTGCTACACTCTTACTACACTCAAAGGGATTTGGATACGAGTCAAACCCAATTTGAAAATACGGATTTTGCAGTTCTGCTTTAGTTACAGGCAAAATCACATATGTAGCTATTCCAGTAAGTTTTTTGGCTCAAGATGGTAGAAATTTAATAAGATTAGTTTGCAAAATTTGTGTACCATCAAATCAAAACCTGAATCATTGCTCTGATTCTACTTCAAACCCAGGCTTTGATCCCTTCATTTAAAACTAATCCTAATCCAAATACAACATCTTAGCTCATCTGTAATAAATTTTTAAAAATAAAATTAAAGAAAGAGGCAATCAGTATTCCCACACAGCAAAGGTAAGTACCATATAATTCATCAATGACATGTCTGTTATTATTCAACAGAAACTTTTAGTACACCTGGTGTTAATATTGTTGCTATTGAGTCTAGAGCTTATACATGGTCCATAACCACATGGGCCTCACTCTGAAGACTCTTTCTCTTCATCTCTGTGAGGATCTTGAACTGCTGCTATTCACCTCAGCAGTTTCACATGAAACGGATTGGAACAAAAGCAAACTCTAAAATAGACACATTGAGTTTCCTTTTTCAGTTTACTTAAAGTTGGTCAACATTATTGTTTGTGAGGTTTTCTGTTGCGTTTAAAGGGGTTTTTTTCTGGCTACTGTGGAAAAGCTTTTATCATAGAGCAATGGTTTTGAAGCATCAAGGTAGTCAGACTCTGGATGTATTTAATCACATCTGAAAGTTCATTCAAAACTAGATCTTCTTGGCCAAGAACTGTCAGGCTGTTCTGGGCTTTGTGACCAAGCAAAACAACCAACATGTTCTCAATATCTGCTTGTCTATAGCCTGTTCTAGCACATTACAAAATAGACAGGAAAATGCTGCCTGATGCACTTAATGTATTTTTTATAAGTGTATATAAATGTGCTTAACTGGGATTAGAAATATTCCCAAACTCCAAGATAATTTACTAGGTTATGCAATGAATAAGAAATTCACTGACAAACTCATGAATTATTTCAGTGAGACTGAGATTAAATACCAGACTCTTTTCTTAGTTATAGATGTATAAATTTAGAATAACTTCACTGAGGTCAGTTATTTTGGTTTTACATGAATATAAATTAGATATGAGTGTGGCCCTAGAGAAACTAGCAATTTTGGATTATAATCAACTTTCTGGATCCTGGTTTTTCCTGGTAAAAAATTGAAAATTCTCTAATTAAAATCCCCAAACCCATGATTAAATTGAAAGGCTGCTCTGTATATGGGTATCAGCTGAACACAATGTTTTATTGATCTATTTACAGTTTTAAAGCACATTGGAAGCCTACGAGTACTTCAATCACTATAATAGAATAAATTCTAAATACCTATACATTTTAGCATTTGAGATTTTTCATCATGGAAAATCAGAGCTTTTGCTGCCCCCATCACTTACCAGGATGCAGGTCCAGCTGCGGTTGCCCCCCACACTGCTTTGTGGTGCTGAGCAGCCCTGATATGCCATTGCCCCTCAGTCCCAAGGCACAGCCCTCCCCAGCCCTGCCAGTGCCCCTCACCTAAGAACTGGTTAGAACTGGTCGTTTGATTTCACCCTGAACTAGAATCGAACCATCATTTGCCGCAATGGGAATCAAGCCACAAAAAATCACTAGGGTCACCAGTTAGACTTCTGTTACTAGTTAGACTGGAGTTACTGGTTAAATAGGGGTCACCAGTTACCCACCAGTCAGACTGAGGTGACTGGTTCAGTCTTCATTTAAAACTGCCTATAACAATTTATTTAAACTTTACAACCACTGGCTCACATTGTTGTCTGCACAGGGCATATAGTGTGAATTAAAAACAAGCAGGAATCTTATCGGGGATAAGGCACAATGCTGCATTTATCAGAACATGAAACATAAAACCTACAACATGAAAAGAATAAAGAACAACAAGGTTATCTGCTTCACTCACTCCCATACTCATTCATTCATTCATTCACCCACCCATACAAAAGAAACAAGCATGCACACACAGATAGGTAGACAGTCCTGCATAGGTTAAGGTGTCACCAAGTTCTAAAGTTGGCCAGGTCAGTCTGGTGGCCAGCTGGACTGACCATGAGGAATGGAGTCAGGTCTTGTTGGATGTGCCCAAAACTCTGTCTTGCAGGTGGACAGACCCAAAGCCTTTTCTTTGTGTTCATTCTTTATAGCAAGAGCTCTCCATACAAACCTATGGATTACGCAAGGTGGGATTGGTAGGATGTGATCTTCTGGCTTTGTGGTCTGCAGTCTTCAGAAGGGGTCATTGCTTGTAGTCTTCAGCTGTCAGGGTGAAGGCATGAGTTACTATTTAGTAATCCTTAACTGCTGACTTGACGTCGCTGCAACCTTTAACTGTTAAACCACAGAAAGCTATTTTCGCCTGCTGCAAGAGGACTGTCTTCCTTCACATTGTCAAATACATACATCATTCATTCTTTCATGACCTCTTTTTAAAGATGCCAGATATATCACAGACCTTACATAAGCATTTGTCGTATACCAAATTTAAGTTCTAAAATCATGAGACCAATATGCAATAGGAAATTTAAAATAGATGGTTAATTCCAGAAGAATAATAACTGATTAAAATATTATGGAAAATAAATCATAACGAGATTAACTTTATCTTAATGGCTAAATAATTCATTAGAAAAAAAATTGCAGTATAAGCAGTTAAAACAATTATAGCTACTGCAATAGAACAACATGAAAACACACAAAGATAAAATGAGACAATGCTACCACAAAGACTCTTCTGATGGCCCTGTTGCAAATCCAGGGATTTCTCTCTGATTTTGCAGTTTCTATCACACTTTTTTTTTCTCTTTCACTTTACTCTATATGTTTAATATGGAGTTAAATGTATGTAAACAGCTGTAAATAAATACTCCTGTTTTCTTAGTGGACTTTTATTCTTACAACTAGTTCCAAATGCCCATTTCCAAGTCTGTTTAACACTTTATGCATTTGTAGCATGTCGGGAGTGGGGCAGGCAGGCGCCTAGGATCTGTGGAGTAATGGAAGATTGAGGGCATGCCTGCAGGGACTGTGAATGGGTGGAAGGTCTGGGGCATGCTCCCTTGCTGGGAAGTGGTGGGCTGTGAAGAAGTCCCTAGGCAGTCCCACAGGGTGGGGGGGCTGGGGCCACAACTGAGACGACTCTGGATAACCCAAGGAATTATGTGCAAAAAAATTCAAAATAATGTGCAGGAAAACTCAAAATTATCCAATGTTAATAGTGTGTTGTTTGTTTGTTTGTTTTACAAATTAAATGAAATATAACACTATTTGAACCTTGGTTAGAAATATATGCAGGTACTTTGTATGGATGTGGGTTTGGTGTGAGGTGTGTATGGGGGGAATTTGTGAAGGTGTTGGAGGTGGATGTGGGGTTTGTAGCGGGGGGATTTGTGAAGGTGTTGGAGGTGGATGTGGGGTTTGTAGCGGGGGGATTTGTGAAGGTGTTGGAGGTGGATGTGGGGTTTGT